AGCTATGGGGCAGTTGTGGGCTGGGGGGGGCAGTTACGGGTCTGTTATGGGGCAGTCATGTGGCAGCTATGGGGCAGTTGTGGGGCAGTTATGGGGCAGTTGTGGGGCAGCTATGGGGCAGTTATGGGGCAATTGTGTGGCAGCTATGGGGCAGTTGTGCTGGGGGGGCCAATTAGGGGTCTGTTATGGGGCAGTCGTGGCAGTTATGGGGCAGTTATGGGTCACTTAAGGGTCAGTTATAGGTCACTTATAGGTCAGTTATGGGTCACGTATGGGTGACTCATGGCTCACTTATGGGTCAGTTATGGGTCACTTATTGCTCACTTATGGGTCAATTATGGCTCACTTATGGGTCACTTATGGCTCAGTTATGGGTCTTGGAGATCTCAGTTGTGGGTCCAGCTGTGTGTGGGGGGGCTCTCACTTATGGGTCCCGGGGGGGGATCAGTTGTGGGTGTGGGAGTGCTCAGTTATGGGTCCGGGAGTGCCCACTTATGGGTCAGTTATGGCTCACTTATGGGTCTGGGAGGTCTCAGTTATGGGTCCGGGAGTGCTCATTTATGGCTCACTTATGGGTCATGTATGGCTCACTTATAGGTCAGTTATGGCTCACTTATGGGTCAGCTATGGGTCACTTATGGCTCACTTATGGGTCAGTTATGGCTCACTTACAGGTCAGTTATGGCTCACTTATGGGTCTGGGAGGTCTCAGTTATGGGTCCCGGAGTGCTCAGTTATGGCTCACTTATGGGTCACTTATGGCTCACTTATGGGTCAGTTATGGCTCACTTATAGGTCAGTTATGGCTCACTTATGGCTCACTTATGTGTCTGGGAGGTCTCAGTTATGGGTCAGTTATGGCTCACTTACAGCTCACTTATGGGTCTGGGTAGTCTCACTTATGGGTCTGGGAGGTCTCAGTTATGGCTCACTTATGTGTCTGGAAGGTCTCACTTATGGGTCTGAGAAGTCCCACTTATGGGTCTGGAAGGTCTTAGTTATGGGTCAGTTGTGGCTCCCTTATGGGTCAGTTATGGCTCACTTATAGGTCAGTTATGGCTCACTTATGGGTCTGGGAGGTCTCAGTTACAGGTCTGGGAGTGCTCAGTTATGGCTCACTTATGGGTCAGTTATGGCTCCCTTATGGGTCAGTTATGACTCACTTATAGGTCAGTTATGGATCACTTATGGGTCCGGGAGTGCTCAGTTATGTCTCACTTATGGGTCAGTTATGGCTCACTTATGGGTCTGGGAGGTCTCAGTTACAGGTCTGGGAGTGCTCAGTTATGGCTCACTTATGGGTCAGTTATGGCTCCCTTATGGGTCAGTTATGACTCACTTATAGGTCAGTTATGGATCACTTATGGGTCCGGGAGTGCTCAGTTATGTCTCACTTATGGGTCAGTTATGGCTCACTTATGGGTCTGGGAGGTCTCAGTTACAGGTCTGGGAGTGCTCAGTTATGGCTCACTTATGGGTCAGTTATGGCTCCCTTATGGGTCAGTTATGACTCACTTATAGGTCAGTTATGGATCACTTATGGGTCCGGGAGTGCTCAGTTATGTCTCACTTATGGGTCAGTTATGGCTCACTTATGGGTCTGGGAGGTCTCAGTTACAGGTCTGGGAGTGCTCAGTTATGGCTCACTTATGGGTCAGTTATGGCTCACTTATGGGTCTGAGAGGTCTCACTTATGTGTCTTTGAGGTCTCACTTATGGGTCTGGGAGGTCTCACTTACGGGTCTGGGAGGTCTTAGTTATGGGTCAGTTATGGCTCAGTTATGGCTCACTTATGGGTCAGTTATGGCTCACTTATGGGTCTGGGAGGTCTCACTTATGGCTCACTTATGGGTCAGTTATGGCTCACTTGTAGGTCACTTATGGCTCACTTGTAGGTCAGTTATGGTTCACTTATGGGTCTGGGAGGTCTACTTATGGATCACTTATAGGTCAGTTATGTCTCACTTATGGGTCCGGGAGGTCTCATTTATGGGTCCTGGAGGTCTCACTTATGGCTCACTTATGGGTCAGTTATGGCTCACGTATGGCTCACTTTTGGGTCACTTATGGGTCAGTTATGGCTCCCTTATGGGTCAGTTATGACTCACTTATGGGTCAGTTATGGCTCCCTTATGGGTCTGGAAGGTCTCATTTATGTGTTTGGGAGGTCTCACTTATGGGTCTGGAAGGTCTTAGTTATGGCTCAGTTATGGCTCACTTATGGGTCAGTTACGGCTCACTTGCAGGTCACTTATGGCTCACTTATAGGTCAGTTATGTCTCACTTATGGGTCCGGGAGGTCTCAGTTATGGCTCAGTTATGGGTCCGGGAGGTCTCACTTATGGGTCCGGGAGGTCTCAGTTATGGGTCTGGGAGGTCTCAGTTATGGCTCACTTATGGGTCCGTTATGGCTCACTTATAGGTCAGTTATGTCTCACTTATGGGTCCGGGAGGTCTCACTTACGGTTCAGTTATGGGTCCGGGAGGTCTCACTTATGGCTCAGTTATGGGTCCAGGAGGTCTCACTTATGTGTCTGGGAGGTCTCACTTATGGGTCCAGGAGGTCTCACTTATGTGTCCGAGAGGTCTCACTTATGGGTCCAGGAGGTCTCACTTATGTGTCCGAGAGGTCTCACTTATGGGTCTGGGAGGTCTCACTTATGGGTCAGTTACGTGTCCGGGAGGTCTCACTTATGGGTCCGGGAGGTCTCACTTATGGGTCTGGGAGGTCTCACTTATGGGTCCAGGAGGTCTCACTTATGGGTCTGGGAGGTCTCACTTATGGGTCAGTTATGGTCCGAGAGGTCTCACTTATGGTTCACTTATGGGTCCGGGAGGTCTCACTTATGGGTCTGGGAGGTCTCACTTATGGGTCCGAGAGGTCTCACTTATGGGTCCGAGAGGTCTCACTTATGGGTCCGGGAGTTCTCACTTATGGGTCTGGGAGGTCTCACTTATGGGTCCGGGAGGTCTCACTTATGGGTCCAGGAGGTCTCACTTATGGGTCCGGGAGGTCTCACTTATGGGTCCGGGAGTTCTCACTTATGGGTCCGGGAGGTCTCACTTATGGTTCAGTTATGGGTCCAGGAGGTCTCACTTACGGTTCAGTTATGGGTCCGGGAGGTCTCACTTATGGTTCAGTTATGGGTCCGGGAGGTCCCACTTATGGGTCCGGGAGGTCTCACTTATGGGTCAGTTATGGGTCCAGGAGGTCTCACTTACGTGTCCGGGAGGTCTCACTTATGGGTCCGGGAGGTCTCAGTTATGGCTCAGTTATGGGTCCGGGAGGTCTCACTTATGTGTCCGGGAGGTCTCACTTATGGTTCAGTTATGGGTCCGGGAGGTCTCACTTATGGGTCTGGGAGGTCTCACTTATGTGTCCGGGAGGTCTCACTTATGGGTCCGGGAGTTCTCACTTATGTGTCTGGGAAGTCTCACTTATGGGTCCGGGAGTTCTCACTTATGGGTCTGGGAGGTCTCACTTATGGGTCCGGGAGGTCTCACTTATGGGTCCGGGAGGTCTCACTTATGTGTCCGGGAGGTCTCACTTATGGGTCCGGGAGTTCTCACTTATGGGTCCGGGAGTTCTCACTTATGGGTCTGGGAGGTCTCACTTATGGGTCTGGGAGGTCTCACTTATGGGTCCAGGAGGTCTCACTTATGTGTCCGGGAGGTCTCACTTATGGGTCCGGGAGTTCTCACTTATGGGTCTGGGAGGTCTCACTTATGGGTCCGGGAGGTCTCACTTATGGGTCCGGGAGTTCTCACTTATGGGTCTGGGAGGTCTCACTTATGGGTCCGGGAGGTCTCACTTATGGGTCCAGGAGGTCTCACTTATGTGTCCGGGAGGTCTCACTTATGTGTCCGGGAGGTCTCACTTATGGGTCCAGGAGGTCTCACTTATGGGTCCTGGAGGTCTCACTTATGGCTCAGTTATGTGTCCGGGAGGTCTCACTTATGGGTCCGGGAGGTCTCACTTATGGGTCTGGGAGGTCTCACTTATGGGTCCAGGAGGTCTCACTTATGGGTCCGGGAGGTCTCACTTATGGGTCAGTTATGGGTCCGAGAGGTCTCACTTATGGTTCACTTATGGGTCCGGGAGGTCTCACTTATGGGTCAGTTATGGGTCCGGGAGGTCTCACTTATGTGTCCGGGAGGTCTCACTTATGGGTCTGGGAGGTCTCACTTATGGGTCCGGGAGGTCTCACTTATGGGTCCGGGAGGTCTCACTTATGGGTCCAGGAGGTCTCACTTATGTGTCCGGGAGGTCTCACTTATGTGTCCGGGAGGTCTCACTTATGTGTCCGGGAGGTCTCACTTATGGGTCCGGGAGGTCTCACTTATGGGTCCGGGAGGTCTCACTTATGGGTCTGGGAGGTCTCACTTATGGGTCCGGGAGGTCTCACTTATGGGTCTGGGAGGTCTCACTTATGGGTCTGGGAGGTCTCACTTATGGGTCTGGGAGGTCTCACTTATGGGTCCGGGAGGTCTCACTTATGGGTCTGGGAGGTCTCACTTATGGGTCCGGGAGTTCTCACTTATGGGTCTGGGAGGTCTCACTTACGTGTCCGGGAGGTCTCACTTATGGGTCTGGGAGGTCTCACTTATGGGTCTGGGAGGTCTCACTTATGGGTCCGGGAGGTCTCACTTATGTGTCCGGGAGGTCTCACTTATGGGTCTGGGAGGTCTCACTTATGGGTCTGGGAGGTCTCACTTATGGGTCCGGGAGGTCTCACTTATGGGTCTGGGAGGTCTCACTTATGGGTCTGGGAGGTCTCACTTATGGGTCTGGGAGGTCTCACTTATGGGTCTGGGAGGTCTCACTTATGGGTCCGGGAGTTCTCACTTATGGGTCCTGGAGGTCTCACTTATGGGTCCGGCTGTGTTTGTGGGTGTGAGCTGTGGGGTGTTGGTTTGTGTTGTACCACGTGTGGGTCCATCCGCCCCGGGGGGGGAAGGGTCGGGGCCCCCCCCACGTTCGGCGCCCCCCAACCCCCCAGCCCGGCGGCTCCGACAGCTACCGCGTGGCCACCACGCAGGACAAGGGCGAGAAGGAGTCGCCCAAGAAGGGCAAGAGCAAGACCCGGGACCTGGATGACCTCAAGAAGGAGGTGGCCATGGTGAGGTTATGGGGGGGAGGTGGGGGGTGGGGGGGTGTGGGGGGGATGGGGGGTGTGGGGGGTGTGGGGGGTGTGGGGGGTATGGGGGGTATGGGGGGTATAGGGGGTATGGGGGATATAGGGGGTAATGGGGGTATGAGGGGTATAGGGGGTATGGGGGGTATAGGGGGTATGGGGGTATAGGGGTTAATAGGGGTATGGGGGATATAGGGGGTATGGGGGGTATAGGGGGTATGGGGGATATAGGGGGTAATGGGGGTATGAGGGGTATAGGGGGTATGGGGGGTATGGGGATATGGGGGGTATGGGGGGTATGGGGGGTATGGGGGGTATAGGGGGTATGGGGATATGGGGATATGGGGGGTATAGGGGGTATGGGGGATATAGGGGGTAATGGGGGTATGAGGGGTATAGGGGGTATGGAGGGTATGGGGATATGGGGGGTATGGGGGGTATAGGGGGTATGGGGGGTATGGGGGGTATAGGGGGTATGGGGGGTATGGGGGGTATAGGGGGTATGGGGGATATAGGGGGTAATGGGGGTATGAGGGGTATAGGGGGTATGGGGATATGGGGGGTATGGGGGGGTATGGGGGGTATAGGGGATAGGGGGGGTATGGGGGGTATAGGGGGTATGGGGATATGGGGGGTATGGGGGGTATAGGGGGTATGGGGATATAGGGGGTAATAGGGGTATGGGGGATATAGGGGGTATGGGGATATGGGGGTATAGGGGGTATGGGGAATATAGGGGATATGGGGGTATGGGGGTATCGGGGATATGGGGGGGTATGCGGGATATAGGGGGTATGGGATTATGGGGGGGGATAGGGTCTATTGGGTCAATATGGGGTATGGGGGGTATTGAGGGTATAGGGGGTGAGGGGGGTATGGGGGCTATAGGGGGTTATGGGGTGGTTTGGATGCACTGTTAGGGCATTTGGGGGTGGGTTATAGGGGAGGCATTGAGGGTAAATGGGGGGGGTTGTCTGGGTTTGGGTGGTTTTGGGCAATTTTGGGCGAGTTTGGGGTGGTTTTGAAGCTGTTTTGGGTTGGTTTGGGGCTGGTTTGGGGTCGTTTGGGGCTGGTTTGGGGTGGTTTGGGGCTGGTTTGGGGTCGTTTGGGGCTGGTTTGGGGTGGTTTGGGGCTGGTTTGGGGTCGTTTGGGGCTGGTTTGGGGTGGTTTGGGGCTGGTTTGGGGTCGTTTGGGGCTGGTTTGGGACACTGCTGCCCCACAGACCGAGCACAAGATGTCCATCGAGGAGGTGTGCCGGAAGTACAACACGGACTGCGTGCAGGTGGGGGGGCTTTGGGTACCCCCATTGCCCTATGGGGCTGCCCCATTGCCCCTATGACTCCCCCCATTACCCCTATGGCTCCCACACTTGCCCTTATGGGGCTCCCCCCATTGCCCCTATGGCTCCCCCATTACCAATATGACTCCCTCCATTACCCCTATGAGTCCCCCCATTGCCCCTATGGCTGCCCCATTGCCAATATTGCTCCCCCCATTGCCCCTATAGCTTTGCCCCATTACCCCTATGGCTCTGCCCCATTACCCTTATGGCTTCCCCCATTGCCCCTATGGCTCACCCCATTTCCCATATGGCTTGCCCCATTCACCCTATAGCTCCCCACATTGCCCCTATGGCTCCCCCCCATTACAACTATGACTCCCCCCATTGACCCTATGGCTGCCCCATTACCAAATGCCCACACCCCATTGCCCCTATGCCTCCCCCCATTACCCAATGGCACAGCCCATTCACCTTATGCCTCCCCACATTGCCCCTATGGCTCCCCCCCATTACAACTATGACTCCCCCCATTGACCCTATGTCTGCCCCATTAACAAATGCCTCCACCCCATTGCCTCAATGGCTCCCCCCATAACCCAACGGCACATCCCATTCACCCTATGGCTCCCCACATTCCCCCTATGGTTCCCAATATTACCCCTGTGTCTCCCCAGTTGCCCACATGGAGAACCCCATTGCTAACGGTTGCCCCCTAGGACAATAACCATAACCCTAACAGTAATGATAACCATAACCATAACCCGAACCTTAACACATAACAAACAACCCTAACCCCTAACCCCAACCCCACCCTAACCCCTAAACCCAACCCCAACCCTAACCCCAACCCCAACCCTAAACCTACCCCTAACCCTAACCCTAACCATACCCCCTACCCTAACCCTAACCCTAACCCTAACCCTAACCATATCTCCTAACCCTAACCCTAACCCTAACCCTAACCATACCCCCTAACCCTAACCCTAACCCTAAACCTAACCCTAACCCTAACGATATCCCCTAAGCCTGACCTTAACCATACCCCCTAACCCTAAACCTAACCCTAACCATATCCCCTAACCCTAACCCTAACCCTAACCCTAACCATACCCCCTAACCCTAACCCTAACCCTAACCCTAACCATACCCCCTAACCCTAACCCTAACCCTAACCCTAACCATATCCCCTAACCCTAACCCTAACCCTAACCATACCCCCTAACCCTAACCCTAACCCTAACCCTAACCATATCCCCTAACCCTAACCCTAAAACTAACCCTAACCCTATCCCCTAACACTAACCCTAACCCTAACCATACCCACTAACCCTAAACCTAACCCTAACCCTAACCATATCCCCTAACCCTAACCATACACCCAACCCTAAAACTAACCCTAACCATACACCCAACCCTAAAACTAACCCTAACCCATAACCCTAACCCATAACCCTAACACTAAAACACTACCTGTAACCCCTAACACGAACAAATAACCACTAACCCAAACCATAACCATAACCATAACCATAAATGTAACCCTAAATAATAACCCTAACCGTAACACTAACCTCTACCCCAACCACAAGCCCTAACCCTAACCACTAACCTTAACACATAACCCTAACCCTAATACCTAACCCTAACCATAACCCTAAACCTAACCCTAACCCTAACAATAAAACTAACCCTAAACCTGACCATAACCCTAACCCTAACCCTATCTGCTAACCCTAACCCTAACCCCCAACCCTAACCCATGACCCTAACACTATAAGGCTAACTGAAACCCCTAACCATAACCAATAACCTCTAACTCTAACCCCTAACACTAACCATAGCCATAACGATAAATGTAACCCTAAATACTAACCCTAAACGCAACACTAACCCCTAACTCTAACCACAAACCATAACCACTGACCCTAACCCTAAACATAACCACTAAGCCTAACCCTTAAACCCTAACCCCAAAACCTAACACAACAACCATAACCAAAACCCCTAACAGTAAGCCCTAAACCTGAAACCTAACCCTAACCATAACCATACAGCCTAAGCCTAAAACTAAAGGCAACCAAAACCCTAAACACGAACCCTAACACTATAACCCTAACTGTAACCTGTAACTATAACAATTAATCCTACCCATAAACCCTAACAATAAACCCAACACCTAACCATAACCCTAACTATAACCATAACCCTAAACCTAACAGTAACCCTAACCA